TGTTTCCAGCAGTAACGTGGTGGCTGCTTTTCAGACTCGTTTTGCTGCACAGAATGACCATCACGCACAGCAGGGCAGCAGTAACAACTCATTACCAATGGCATGTGGGCAGATGGGTGGGTTTTTTTTCTATATGAAAGCTTTGCACAACACTTCCTTGAAGAGGGAGACTGCGTGCACTCCTACCGAGCTCTCAGCAGAGCTCTGTCACCATTTTACTGCCAAAAGTGTTTCTAGAGCAGATCTGTCACCAGCGCTGCCCCTTGCCAGTGCACGGATGGAAGCACACCTTTTGTTTTCTGCTTTCTGATGTTTAAACTCGCCTTGCCTTCATGAAATCCGCTCTAGTCATGCTGGCCCATTGATCTGTCCTAATACTGGGAATTCACTCTGCCTGTTTTCTTTCTGGGCAACGTGTTTGTGAACAACGAAGACATCAATATGCTATGCAAACTAAGTGCTGAGCCCACTGATGTCACCCTTGGTGAAGATCCTACATTTAGCACAGTTGTCTTTTTCCTCAAGACTGCAGTATTTGGTTCACGTTTTCCTTTGCACCTTGTGTCAAACGCCACTGCTGTCTGTCTGCAGGGTGGTGGGGAGGAGACCAGGAGCTCTTCGTGGTCAGTAGGGTGTGAAGTCTTAGGAAAGCTTTTAGAGAGCAGGGAATGCCTCAACTCAAAGTGTCAACGCGAGAAGCCTACATTCCTATACACAAGTGCCTGCATAGTGACACAAATCCAGCACCTCTCCATTTCATCCTCACACCTCTGGCTTGTGTTCCTCGAAAGCCAAACGCTCTCAGAGGGGCTGTGCCTGCTCACCTCGGATGAGAAAGCCCCTTGTTAAGAACCACACCGGGGTTGAGGTCAAGGTTCTCTCTGTCAGTGGGTTTGTTCACCAGCATTACAACGGAACGCACCCAGCTGCTGGCGGCAGCGAGGGCCGAAGGTCTTTTGGTTCCTAGTTCTTCTTTTAGTGTTTTAGTTGGGTCTAGAATCCTGAACCGTCTTTTAGGAGCTGTGGCATAGCGCGTGCCATTTTTAACCCTTTGAAAAGAGATAGTGTGGGCATTTACAAAACAGCTTGTTGCTCTGTAACATTTTTTTTTTTAATCTTGAGACTTGAAATGTAAAATGGACCTTTAAGATTTGCACTCATTTGTAAGGTGGCTGTTCATAGAGAACTATGAATGAAGACTTGCTGATGTAGCACCTACTTTTAACAGCAATTTTAACTACACAAAAGCTTCACAGCTTCTGAAATGCTCAGCTGGTGACTTGCAGATCGTGTTCTGCCCTTATTTCACCCTCTGCATTAGGTTTTCATGGTCTTGATTCAATAAAGAAGCCAAACTCAATAGCTGCTGTGCCCTTTAAGCCGTATTTCCACTTTGAAGATGTTTAGGAGGGGTGTGATTACCCGCATGTTTTCTATAACAGACTATGCACTGTACCTCCTGTGCCGCTCCAGCATTCAGTATTTCTACCGTTTTCTCACCCAAGATGCACCCAAATAAGTGCATGTTGAGGTGCTGTGCATTTTGCTACCCGTAGCAGATAGCTGTTAAGCCAGAGGCGTATCAGGATTTGTAGTTAGCCACAAACCCCACGCGGACATCCCGAATGGCTCCGAGTCTCTCTGCCTTCTCAGTGCACCCGCGTTCCTTCTGCAACTGGAAACATCGCCAAGTGCATGCAAGCCTTGTGGGAAGAGGAATAACTTCCATTTACCTGTGGGTTGTTGGATGCTGTTTGATTCCCTTGTCTCATACCTGGACGTGACGGGGTCAGTCGGGGCATCCCGAGCCTCTGACCTGATGCCTGGTGTCACAAAGCATTCAGCGTTGCCTCGTGGAAGGTTTTCTTCTTGGAAAATGAGCGTGAATAAAGAAAAGAAGGTGGTTCTTTTAGGAAGGGAAGCCAGACAGCAGGACAGCAATAAACACATGAAATTCATATCTTGCCTGAGTGATTTGCACTTCAATAGTTGTGAAAGAAAATTGATGGGGACTCCAGTGCTTTTGTGTTCAGTTCTAGCCCCTTTCGTACCTCCTTTATACAACAAGTGTTGAACTGCACACGGGGTGTTTGCAAACACTCCTTGGGTTGTGATTTTTCTTGCGGTTATTTTTTTTGCTTTAGCTTGAACTCTGTATGGTCCATTTGTTGAATAGATGTGAACAGTTGATGTACAGTACTTACTAAACAAGCAGCAGCACAAAACTTATTTTATTAAGAAAATATGGCGTATATTTTAAAGGTTGGGTATCAACTTTGTTTTTTTTTTCTTTTTTTGTACGTGTGGAATTCAGACTGGTAAAGAGTAACAAAACCCCTGGATTAGGCCAAAAGGTAACGCTGTAAGATCGTAACCACCTCTTTATTAAAGAAAATGGGATGATTAAAGAGCTCCAGAACATTGTATTTATATTTGATTTCATCGCTTTTGTGGATTTTTTTTTAATTATTTTTTTTTATTTTTTTTTGCCTTAATCCTGATTTTTGCTTGCAACTTTGACTTTGCAGTCCCAAGTGTCTGTTACCCTGTAAGTGTTGGCAGAAGACCTAAATAAAAGCAATGTGAACATGTTGGGGTGACACTCCTGAGTCAGATCGCGTGGGGAAGGAGGAAGCGTGCGTGCTGAGTGCTGAGCTCAGTTGCAGAGGGCCTGGGGACGAGCGGTGAAATGCTGACTGTAGCTGAATTGCATCAGATGCTGTGGAGGATCCAAAACCCCTCGCTTTCCAGCTTAGCCCAATTTAATGAGAGAAACACTCAAGTGAACAACGACGCGCTTAAAACTTCTTGGATGATGACAGCGAATTCCACTTTTCATTAAAATACCATCTGTCCCAGAAAGGACTTCATTGGAGCTCCTCGGGTTATTAAATGGCAGAAACACACACCAAAATACGCTGCCACTTTGGGCTTTTGGCTTTGGAGCCTTAGCGTGACTCGCGTGGTTTTGAGACAAGTAATATAAAGGCAGGACTGTTCTCTGGATTTGCCTGGACTCAAATCCGAGACCTGATGTAAAACCGCTACTTGGTTTCTTACCTGGATCTTTTGTTCTCTGTTCAAACAGTCCCTACAGCTGTAGGTAAACCTGGGTGCATTTACACAGCTGACTTCAGCTGTTTGCAGGTTGGATGGGTTTGATCTCTGGAGCACGCCGCTCCTGCCCTCGGCCGGTCGGTTTGGCCTTTTCTGTTGGAATGAGGCTGTGGAAGGATGCTTCCAATGGCCGTACGGCCCCGCTGTGCAGCTGCACGTGCTCTGTGTGAGGCTCACTTCATGCTCAGAGGGCTGTAAAGGGCAGCTGGCTCCAAGATGCTGTAAGAAAAGTTTTCAGACTCCTTATGGATCGGGGTTAAACTTTATCCTCTGGATTTCTCTACGTTTCTCAGCTTTAGAATTATCTGCAAACTTCACAGTCCTCTGCAAACCCATGCCTATAGCTTGGTGTGTGTCATGGGTACAGAAGGGGAGGTTGTGTGCCATCCTCTGAGTTCTGTGGATCTGTTTGTGCTTTACCTTACAAACACGTATCCACATTCCTTGAGGCACTGAATTATTTAGCAGTTGAGCTGTAACTCTGGGTTTTTGAATAATGCGAAGCAATTTTAGGGAAGCATTTGCCAATGGCACGCAGGTACTTGTTAGCTAATTGATGTGGACGTACTGCACAGAACTGAGCATCTTTACAAATTCTGTTCATCTTCTCCTGCTTTTAACATTGTAACTAACAAATAAAAAGAGCCCTACTCCATAGCAGAAATCTTTTTCGGCAGTTCCAGGGGACTTGTTTCCAAGTGAGATGTAACAGAAAATGGTGCTTTGTGCCGCTGGGTCGAGGTCTGGAAAGCAGATCTCTGTCAGCCCGTGGTGTCAGGTGTTGGGTTGGCATCTGAGCTCTGGTGCTGGGCTCCAATTACAGCAGCCCGGACTGCAGGAAGTGCCCAGATGGAGACTTCGCCCTCAGCCCTATGGCTGCATCGTGGTGATCGCATTTCCCCATTTAAATCCTGAAAGAAGGAAACATTCTAGTGGTTTGTTTTAAGCATTCATGCTTTTAGAACCCTTACAGTATCACCTCCAATAGCGGACTGGTACTGAATGCTGCTACAATCACTGCCAGACACAGAGCAGGGCAGCCCTATGCTCTGAATGTACGCAGATCTGGCCGGTCAGCCTTTATTCTTCTCCCACACTCCAGCCATGCTCTCACAGCCCTGCAAATGCAACAAACACACGCGAGCCGGAGGGCAGCCCTGGGTTCTGAGGGCAGCAGAGGACAGGGGGTGAGGCTTCAAGCCTCTGTGTGCTGAGGGAGCAGGGCTCTGTGCTGCAGCCCTACATGGGAACTGCTCGCTATTGAGCTGAACCAGGGCCAAGGCTCCGCTCGTTGCTGTTCTTTTGGTGACGACTAAAAAAAACCCGCAGCATAATTCATTGGGACGGCGGCTAAGGAATCCAAAAAGTCATCGTAACCCTTGAACGGCTGCCACGGGGCACGTCTGGTACGCTGCAGTGCAGACACGGCGTCGAACTGGAACAGCTCCCGGCTGCAGCGGCGCAGCGCTCCGCCCGGCCCCGCGCTTCCCCTCACGGAGGCGCTCACGCCACCTTTCCCGCCCACAGCGCCGTTGCCCGGCAACCACCCAGCCTCGCGCACTCCCCGCGCCGCCTCTCGCGCACTTCCGGTCCCGCCTCTTCCCGCCCTCCGCGGAAGCACCGCCCCTCCCCGGAAGGGCGAACGGTTCGGCGTGCGGGGGTGGGACTTCCGGCGGCTGGTGGTTCGGCGGGCGGGCGGCAGCGTGAGTCGGGGCTGCGGGGCGGCCACGCAACTTCCGCCCGGGGGGGCGCCGCCGCCGCCGCTGCTGCCGCCGCTGCCGCCGCCTGAGGGGACGGGAGCGGCCGAGAAGAGGCGCCGAGCTGCGGCCTAAAGGGAGCGGGGAGCTGCCGCCGCCTCCCAGCGCAGCCCGACCGGGGCCCGGGCCCGGCCCAGCTCAGCTCAGCGGCGGAGCCCGCAGCCCCGAGCGGCTGCGCCCAGCTCCATGAATGGAAATCAGCAGCGCAGGTGAGCGGCCTAGCGGTGCTCCGAGCGGCCCCGAGTCGGGAGGGGAGAAGCGGGTACCGCCGCCCGGCCGCGGCGGCTGGCGGTGCTGCGTGCCCCCGCCGCGTGGTTTCACGTCCCGAGGGCCCGGCGCGGCGGAGCGGCACTGCCGGGCGGAGCGGCACTCCCGGGGGAGCGGGATGGCCTTCCTCTTTGCCGCCCGCGCTCTGGAGCTGGGAACACCCGCAGGACGAATCCCGGCGTTTCGTAACGCCGCGGGCCGGCGCGGCGCGCAGCCGCCTTGCGTAACCCGGCAGCGCGGGGTGCCGCGGGGCATCGGCCGCACAGCCGCGGCTTTCAGCGCACAACGCATCGCCGCTCGCGATGTCGGCGTCTCCCGGTGGCTGAACGTACGGCTGTGTGCTGGGCCTAGGAGCAATTGCAGGCGTCTCGGGGCGGCTCGATGCGATGCCCTTCGGTTGGGCTTTCGTGGTTTGGGAAGCGCGGGCTCGCTATTTGTGCGCCGCCTGTTTAAAATGTGGTTTGAGATCTAAAGAAGGGATTTGGGTGTGTTGGAAGGGCTGCCGTTCAGGTGCTGTGGGGATGAGGCGGGAGCTGGAGGTGCCAAGCAGGGCAGTCCCAGCTCTTTGCACATGGGTGCCTTTGGTGTTTGTACAGAGGCTGAACTTCGTGGTGGATTTGGCTGGAAAAGCTCGCTGCCCGTGTCCTCGCTTAATGAGCTTAAGTGATGGATTTGAAACCATTTTAGGAAAGTGCTGGATTTTAGCAATCCCACGGAATTTGGGTGGTATGCGAACAATCTGTGTGTGTTAAGTAAACTACAGAGATAACCCGGCGTGAATCGAGCTGCTTTGTAACAGGGCTCAGATTTGCAAGAATAGCACAGGAATGAGTTGGTTTTCTCTTTGGAATGATTTTCCCTTTCGTTAGGTTGTAATGTGATGGTTTTTACCAGGGTGTGTTGAAGTGGTTCAGTGCTGGTTCTGGGGTTGAGCGTTCCTCCCTGTGTGTCCTCTGTAATGAGGAGGTTCCGTGCTTGCTTAATGCCCTGAGCACCTGGGAACTCTGCCATCAGCAGTGCTGGGCACAGACCATGCTGGGCAGTGAGATGAGGGCTGAAGTTGCCTTGTGTCAGAGGAAGGACATTCGGATGCACAGCCCTTCCTGTGAAGGAAAGTCACAGAAGAGGAAGTGGAGAAGATGGATCAGTGAAGCACAGTGAAGGCAGCTCCCAGCTGGTGCCCGGCATCACGCTTCTGCTGGAGGTGTGAGGAGGGCTTCTGCAGGGCTCTATGAAAGCTCTGCTGCTGTGAGTTGGTGCTCTGTGCTGTGACCAAGTCAGAGTGCTGTGTGTCCACATGCTCGTAAATTGTCCCTTCCCAGCCCAGAGCTTTTAGTGTTACGGTGTTGTGTTGCTCTCTTGACTCTGTTTTGGTGTTTTTAATGAAGCACAACAGGCATCGTTGCTTAATCTTTGTGGGCTGTTTTCTGTAGGAGCTTAGGGCAGACAGAATGCAGAGCGTTTGCCTTGCTGTGTTGAGGCTGGTGGCTTGGGAGGACCATTAGAAGTTGTATTTTTGTGGGTGGGGTTGAGAAGAAAGGGGGAATGAATCATAAGTGCCTTCAACAGTTACTCCAGTCAGGAATGCGTGTGATGTGAGTTACAATGGAACTTCGCCTCAGTGGAATTGCAGTGGAAGCTGTTGGAATCAGAGTATGAACTTTACAAATGGTTTCTTCCCCTTTGCTTTACTTCCATAGTGGTTTAATTGTCAGGTAGGATATAGCTTGAGTTAATTCCCAAGCTAATTTTGAAGGAATGGCAGGAATATGAGGCTTTTCAACACATCCGGTCTGCATTTAAATGACAGCAGATGAACAGCAGTGCCCCACTGTGTGCAGCTCCAGTGAGTCCTGCAGCAAGGAACTGAGAGGCAGCATCTGGCTGATGCTTTGGGGCATCTGAGAGCTCTGCAATGGTCCCAAGGCTGGAAGCTGCAGTAAGGACAGACAGCAGGGGGTCGGCAAGATCTCACTAATCCATTTTTTTCTTGCATTGGGATGGGTTTCATAACTGGAATGCCATGGAAGCATTTACCTTTAACTAAGCTTAGAGCTGGATACCAATTGATTTGGTCCTCAACGTTCATCAGGCGTTGTTTCTCACTTCTTTGTGCTGCAGGGTTGTTGTGAAAACAAGAAAATCGACCATTAATTTTTTGCTCCTTTTAATTTTCCTCACACGCGAAACTCGCGGAGGGCATAGAGCAGATTTCAGCGTTATGTCTAAAGAAGTGTTGCTCAGTAACTGTAAGGAATTATTTTTATTTTCTGGTAGTGTAGCTCTAAATTTAGTCCTACGCCGTGTGTCTGGGTTCTTGCTGTTCTGCTCTCAGGCAGTTCTTGGGGAAATGGCAACTGCTTGCATCTGAAACTTGAAAGCCGAGCAGCGGCGGATGGATGGCGTGATGAGTTCTAACAGGACTTACGGTCTGCAACTATTTGTTTTTAAAGTAAAGCCTAAATTGCAAGTAGGGATGTCGAGAAAACGTGGATTGCATTACTCATAAATAATGTAATGCCACCCAGAGAGGTTGCTGCTACAGAAATAAGGCAATTTGTGATTTCTGGCATAGGGAAGGAGCGCGATTGTGGAAACCGATGCTTAACCAGGATCTCCTCACCCTGTTTTTTCAATCTAGAGTTAACTCATGTCTTGCTGGTGGTGGGATTTTCTCTGAGCTCTGCAGGCTGGGCCTCTGAGCCCAAGCAGAAAGGGGCCCTCTGAAAGGGGATCCTTCCCCTCCTCTGCCTGCTGGATGCTGCTGGGTCTCTGTTCTGAGCCCATCCCTGTCATGTCCTCCATCACAGCCTCCAAACTGTTCAGCCACCCTTCGTTGAGAGGTCTAGAACTGTTTCATACACAAAAATAAAGCTATTAACTGATTGTATTTTGAACTTCTGTAATGCTGAAGCCCACAGAGGGAAAACGGTTAATCTCTTGCAGGAAGCCTGGTACTGGCTTCCCTTCCCTGCAGAAGGATCGTGTAAGGAAGCCCTTATCTTCTGTTAGCATCTTGCTAGAAAGCAGTATTTCTTCTTGCTGTAAAACTGCCTTGCGTGCCTGAAGCTTCAGTTTTTCTTAGCATGGTTTGCTGCAAGTGCTTGCAGGTCCTGTGCGTGCTGTGCTGAGCCGTGGGGGCGCTCAGTGGATGTGAGCCCAGTGTGCACAGCCCTCGGCAGGGCTGCCGGCATATAGGAACAGTGCTGGGGCTCGGATCCCAGCAGAGCTGCTGGTATCTTCCCCATCCTTCTGGCAAATGGTGTGGCTGCAGTGGAAGCTTCACAAGGGGGATCTGGCTCCAAAGTTCTGCATTTTTCCATATTGTGGGGAGGTCCATGCGTTGCTGCTGCAGGTACCGGCTGAGCCCACTGGAAATTAACGTCATGTCCCAACCAGAAACCGTATTTCTTGTGTATCTGCAAGCGTCAGATTGTTTTCTTCAGGATGTTCCACAAATAACAGTTACCTTTTCAGCACTTACTTGACTTCTTGACGTGTTGGTTTCCCCCCTCAGCCCTCTAGCAGCATCGGTTTTTTTCCTTCCCTGTGAGCTCTGTGGAAGCTGCGTTCTGTACTGCGGGAGGATCTTCCCTTGTTCTGGAGGATGCTCACACGCTCTGGTTTCAGCAGCTGCTGTGATCAGTAATAATTGGCGAATGCTTTTTCTTGCGTTTGTGAGATGTGTTCGTACTGATGCTGTAAAGGCAGAGTAGCAGCGGTTTGTCGCACGCAGGTTGGTCCCAAACTGTGACAGATTTCCTGTGCTTTGCCTTCCTATGGCCGAATTACATGGAAGAGCAGCTGTCAGTCGCACTCAATGCTGCGTAGAGCAATCCTGCACTCAGTGCTTTGGCTTTGGTCACTGGCAGTACCTGACGTGGGTCCAAGGCTCTGTGAGTCACTGGAGCCATTCAGGAGCTGCGCTGTGCCCACGGCCGACTCAGTGCTGGGCTGGGGCGGAACAGAGCTGCAGCTTGCTTGTATTCCTTGTGAACTTGCCCGAGGGATCCTGCACAAATCAGCAGAACGTCTAAAAACTGTTCCTGAACAGCACGTAGTCTTGTGCTTCTCGTTCCTTGGTTGGAGCAGCTCCAATGGCTCCGATCCCAACGCCTTCATCTGCAGTTCTCTGCTCCCCGCGGTGCTCTGTGGGCACAGCGCTGCTTCCCTGGGCCTGGAACGTGCCCCGTGTGTGGCATCCAGTGCCACCTCTGTGCTTCAGGCTTTTGCTCTAGCTGGGATTTTGTTAATGCAGGTGATGGGACAGCAGTGCTGGGGATAAAGCTGTGCAGGCTTTTGTCTCATCCAGTGCTTTTGTGCTCTGCTGAGGAGCTGAACTTGGAGCGGCGCTCACCCAGCGGTGCTGCACCCCCTGCCCAGCGCTTGCAGCTTCAGTGCTGCCTTCAGCCCAGCTCGGTTCCTGTAGCTACAGTGACACAGCTTGTATGTGAGCTGTGGTGGGGGACTGGGCAGCCCTGATTCTAGCAATCAGCCCCTTTTAATCCTTTTGATTACCTTTATTTCAGCAGTTTTATTCACGTTTCTTGTAGATAGAAACTATAGATGAGCCATGCCACGCGTGTTCTTTTAATATTAAAACAAGCTATTGAGTCACTTATGTCACTCAAATGTTTGGTAGTAACTTTTCACATATGCTTATATTCTGAAAATATGTCTGGAGTAAAACGTAGGGCTGCTTGTACTCATTTCATAGTATTAAAATGAAGAAAAAGTGAGGAGAACAGATGCTTGGAACTCGTTTTGCATAAGCATTGGCTGTGAGGGTGTTCTTAATGATGCCTCTTGTTTTATGTTTTTGTTCTGTTTTATGGCTTGAAGCCAACCCACGCAGAATTCTTTTGGTAGGTTTCTGGGTAGAGAAAGGCAAATGTTACCGTGGAACTTCGCTCTGGTGTTCACCTATGGTCAGCACTCAGCCTGCCTCAAAATCATCCAGCCTGTTCCAGGAATGGGGGAGATTAATCAAAAGACAAATGAGACGTTTTTGTACCGGCACTTGACATTTCAACTCTTCTATGAAAAGAGTGGGCAGGAATTGCTGTCTGCGTCACTGAGTGGGAGTGGAGGGGAGAACTTCCAACTAATTGAATCAAGCGCTGTGACATTTGTGTGATGAGTAATTGGTAAAAACTCGAAGCAGGTCGGGCTGCAGAGCACGTTGTTCTTATTGCTGCAACAGCAAGAGGTGCTTTTAAATGACACGGCCAGCAGAAATGCTCAAGTGTGGCCCATGTTTTACTACTGTTTGGTTTTGGAAGGCACGAGTAAGCAGGACCTCGAGCTGAGGGCCCTCATCTCAGCATACAGGATGCATCTCACCGGTGATGTGTCGCATTGAACCCAGGTGCCTGCCTGACCTCTCGGGGACTTGATTAAGAATGAGAAAGTGGATTAGTGAGTCTTAATGGGAGGCCAGCAAGCGTGCCTACAACTGTGAGGAGCCTTTCAAACTACTGAGAGAGAGAAGCTGGTAGCTTTGCAGTGCAGGTTGTTTGCTGTGCTCGTCTTCTAACGTGTTGCTTTGCTCTCTGACAGGACCCGTCGGGGCTCAGCCCCTGCTCATGGTGCCCAGGCGGCCTGGCTATGGCACCATGGGCAAGCCCATTAAACTGCTGGCCAACTGCTTCCAAGTTGAAATCCCAAAGATTGACGTCTACCTCTATGAGGTGGATATCAAACCAGATAAGTGTCCTCGGAGGGTGAACAGGTAAGAAAGTGACGTTTCTGAATTCTCTCGTTGCTGATGTTTTCAAGCAGGGAGGCGTACTGGAGCAAGTTGAGTCCCTGTGTAGCTTAGAACCTGAGATGGGTACAGAGGCTGCTCCAGGTTCTGGTCGGTTCGGTTGTGACCAGGTGCTGTAATGTGGGCACAGAGCTTTGTGACTGCTTCAGCAGCGCCTCTGTTCTTCAGGGCATCAGAAATAGGGCATAGCTGGAGGCAGGGACTTTTCCTGGTAGAAATACTGGCTCCTAAAGTGTTTCCATTAGCCAGCTGCGCTTGTTCTGGAGGATAGCTGAGCACCCAGTGGTTCTTTTAAAGCGGCTCAGTGCGGTGCTGTGCTTGTTGCCAGTGGAAAAACTTGAGTTTTAACACTTCTGTGATAGAGAAGCGCAAAGCGGAGAGTTTGACCTTCTCCAAGCTCCACCTGCAAGGTGCAAGAGCTGCCATGAGCCCTGCTGAAGAGGAAGCTGGTGTTTATTGTTGTGATGAAGTGTTTTAGGGTAATGTTGCCTGGTCAGGAAATGGCATATGAGTAAGCTTCTGCTTTGTGAGAGTGCTAGTTATGCTTCAGAAGGAAAATGTGTAATTTCTGTAGAATGAGGGAATTGCAGTGCATGAAGAGAGTCTGCAGTGCCACCGAAACACAAAGAATGTCCAAAGAATTCAAAACCTGAAGGCGTATTTCAGAGGTACTGCAATAGTCCCTTTGCAGGGGATGCGTGTGCTGCTTGTATCCAGAAGGCTTTTTTCATATGAAAAAGGAAACAAAACGCTTTCATCTCAAGTGTAAATTCAGTGCTTCCATCTATTTGCTGTAGGTTACTGCTTGCTTTATTGCTGTCAACACATGGAGAAGAAAACTGGCTGAATTGAACCGTGCACAAATCTGATCGTTTTTTACTTGGTTTTATTGTGAAATATCAAATAATTAACGACAGAGCAAAGACTTGGGACACATTGTTTTGTTTTGTTCTTATAAAATGTAAACAGAATCCAAGACTTGTTAGTTGGAGAGCAGGTTGATATTATTAGGTATGCAGTGCAGTTAACTTCTGCCGCTGCCATGGCCTGGCATTGCTTCCAACTATGGCCTTGTACTGGGTTTTCCTAATTGTGTCTTTCTTCCCAGATCAGTGCATCTTTGCTTTGTATAGTAAAGGTGAGAGAGAGCCCTCAGTCATTTCTGGTACTTCCTGAAGCTATTTCACCAACAGCATTTTCTGGTTCTGAAGCATTGAGTTGGTCAAGGCATTATTCTTTAGCGTAGATCTGTTAGCATAGCTGTGATGTGAGAAGGACCTTCTTGGAATATCAGCACGTTCCAGTATGAAACTTCCCTGCAGATGTTTTCAGTGTTAATACCAACCTTTTTTCCAGGGAGGTGGTGGACTCGATGGTGCAGCATTTTAAAGTGACCATATTTGGGGACCGTCGACCAGTTTATGATGGGAAAAGAAGCCTTTATACAGCCAACCCACTTCCCGTGGCCACTACTGGGGTAAGATAAGTGGAGAAACAGATGGCACTTATTACAGCTTCTTAGAAAAGCAAAAGAAAGCCCAGCTTAACTTTTGAGAGACGTTTAACAGATTGGAGGGGAGTTTTGAGCTTTGAGACTCGTTTCTTCCAACTTCTTCCATTTACTTTTCTAAGTTACACCCAAAAGCTTTCTTGAAACTATATTTTCTAAATACTGTATTGAAAAGTTGTTACTAAGTGCTTTTTTCCATAAGTGTTGTGGTCTTGTAGAAGTGTGGAGGGATCTAAGCACATTCAGACCTTTGGAAGCCACCTCCAGAAAGCCAGGGACTTGAAGAACATGTTTTGTGCCCTCCTGCAGCACAGGGAAGCGTTTCACTGTGTTTAATAGCCACGATGACAAAGTGAGCCATGCGTTTGAAACCACTGTTTAGAAAGCAAGTGTCTTGATCCCTTCTCTTAGGCTGGTCTCAAAAGCTGAGGCAACTTTCAAGTTATGTAGACTTCTTTCCCAGCTTTCCAGCTCAATAAATGCAAAGAAGATGGTTCTCTTCCAGCAGTGCCTCTTGTTTTGGGTGCTACATAGAGAGGGCAGGCTAGCAAACTCAAGGATTCAGCTGCTGCTATTGTTTTTTTGCCCACCCAGGTGGATTTGGATGTGACATTACCAGGAGAAGGTGGAAAAGATCGTCCCTTCAAAGTGTCAATAAAGTTTGTTTCTCGGGTGAGCTGGCACTTGCTGCATGAAGTTTTGACAGGAAGAACCTTGCCTGAGCCTCTGGAACTAGACAAACCTATCAGCACTAACCCTGTTCATGCTGTCGATGTGGTGCTACGACACCTGCCCTCCATGAAGTAGGTTCACTGTCTTCCTGCGGTCTGTCTTTACCTGAAGGATCCCCATTGGGACACCTTCATCCTGAAAAGAAAGAATGGTCATTCCCTCACACAGCTGATGAGCTGAGCTGGGGAGATAGAAGCTGATGATGCTTGTGTATTTCTGTAGATATTTAAGCTGCAGAGCAGGTGATACACTTGTTTGAAAAGATCAAGAAGCAGGGGATGCTTGTATTAGGTCTGTGCTGAACTATGGAGAGCTTACAGTGTGCTTAGCACTGCTCCCATGTTTTCTGTTCCAGTTGAGCCAAATCCCACTCATTTGGTGACTGTCTGAAAGCATGAGTCTTTTTAATTCATTGATATACCCATCAATGGTGCATGCTTCTTGTGATCTCAATACATCATTGAGAGTAGATAGCTGTCCTAACCATGCCTGTTACTTTTGAAACATTAGGGGAGGCTATATCAGTTTTGCTGTAGTTGGGCAGTTGGGGTTCCTTTTTGGTTGCTGGCTGTAGCCAGCATGGTGGATTTGCACGGGTGGTTTTCATTGGGTGTAACTGGGAATGTTCTAATGTTCTCCAGCTACCCTAGATCCTGAGCTAAAGGCTGGAGACGTGTAACAGCAGCCTGGAAAGCATTAGTTTCTGTATTTCTTTGTTACCACCACATTTTAATGCAGTGTACACTGAGAGAAGTTTGCTTGTAAAATATGCAAAATGAGTGCAAGGATCAGCCCAGTGTGCTGCTGTAATGGAAATTATACTGTGCTGAAGTTGGAAATTGGAAAACAGAAGTTAATTTGCTGCTTGCAAAAAGAAGTAAATGTTTTGTCTACATTTAAAAACACTGCAATGCATTGAGAGCGCCGTTTAAATTTGACAGAGGTTCCTCGTGCACAAAATTGCAAACATCATAATATTTTGTTACAGTCTTATGACAGAGATGTTTATCCTGTGTTTGGAAGGTGGCGCGTTAAGCTGTGCTCATCTTTTCCCCAGGTACACCCCTGTGGGCCGCTCCTTCTTCTCAGCTCCAGAAGGCTACGATCACCCCCTGGGGGGCGGCAGGGAGGTCTGGTTTGGGTTCCATCAGTCTGTGCGGCCTGCCATGTGGAAGATGATGCTCAACATTGATGGTGAGTTGAGATTCGGAGCTGAGAGTGGAGGTAAAGCTTCTCTCCAAGAATACGAGTCACCTTGGAATTCCATCAGCCTCAGCATTAAAAAGCACAGCAGTTATTCTTGGGTGGTTTTTTCAGTCCTTTCTATGAATGAGGCAGTCCAGAGCTTTGACTTCATTACGGCTTGATGACCTCACGTTGTGGTTTGAGGTTCTGAAGGTGATGTTTGTACCCCGCCACGTGCTTTTGTTGCTGCTGAAGCTCATGCAGGGTTCTTTACAGAGTGTTTCTCCATCGCTTGTGTTGCTGTGGGAGCGCAGCCGCACGCTGCTGGTCTCTGGGTGTGAGCTGTGTGTGTTCATTCACTGATCAGCATCCAGAGGCGTTGGCTGGGCTGTGTCATGTAGGGCTGGCAGGCTGCTGGGGTGACGCATGTCTGAAGAATGTTGTGTTGCCTTAACACAGGGATGTGGTGGTTTTGGTGCAGGAGATCTGGGAGCTCAGCGAAGCGCTTGTCAGCTGTCCCGTGTTGCTGCTATTTAAGGTTTTAAAAGTATGGATTATATCTACTGTGTTGGGCTGTAGCTTGTGCCACATTCCTTACTAGAAGTTATTTCATCGCTTGCTTATAACTTCTCTAAGCAGATTGTGATCTTACTTCCATGGAACAAGTCAGCTGTTTTGTTTAAAAACATTATTGTCTCTTCATGTGATTTGGTTGCTGGTGTGCAGGATGGTAAGAGATGCTGGTAGACCAAAGGTTGCACTAATTACTATGCTAACCTAATTTGTGTGTAGTTAAAATAGTGCTCATGTGGCTAACAAATGCTGTTTCAGTCCCTGGGCAGATCGTATCATTGACAACATCATATTGCATCTTGAATAGTGTCAGCTTTACACATTGAAAAGTCTTCAGCAGAGATGTGGGTGCTGGCTGTGCTTGTAGCTCAGAGTCTCTTCAGGACATGACAGCTCTCTAGAAATTAATGTTATTTGGAGAAAAACCTTTCCAAAACTCAGAAATGCAAAGCAGCTGTACGATGACGAAGCTGGAGACAGATGTGTCACTGTGGTTGTTGGAAGGAAGGCTCCTTAATCTGTTCTGAGGAATGAGTGCTGCTCAGCATTTTCTTGAGGGTTACTTGGAATCTGAAAAAAACATGCATTTATCTGCTGTTTCAGGGCATTCTGACTTTGGTTTTCTTGGTATTTTGTTCTTTTTAGTTTCTGCTACTGCCTTCTACAAAGCACAACCTGTGATTCAGTTTATGTGTGAAGTTCTTGACATTCACAACATTGATGAACAACCAAGACCTCTGACTGATTCTCATCGGGTAAAATTCACCAAAGAGATAAAGGGTGAGTAGAAATGGGTCTGTGCTGCCCTGCAGGGTCATCCTAGGGACTCGGTTTAACTGGAAACACCCCTGGTCGTCACACATCAAAAGAGACCTACCTGCACCTGCCAGGAGAACTGCAGTGCATCACGTTAGTAATTCTAGTCCTGAATGAGGCAGTGTGGTTCTGCAGAAAGGAAAGGTGCAAAATGAGAGATGTTCCCATGGCTTGAAGAGAGGAAGGGGGAGCATTCGTCGCCTGGTTGGCGGTAGGCAGCTTTGCCTTGCTGGCTGCTAACCTTTTAGAAGCACTGAGGTTGTGGTGGTGTTGTGCTGTAGGTCTCCTGGTGTTTAAATGTTGAGGCAAAACGAACATTGATTTTGAAGCTAACTTAATTGATTCTTTGAAAGTATGCTATTTGCAGTGACTTCTAATAACTGTTTGCTGTATGGAAAAACAAGTACTGCTTGATAACTTGCAGCTGAAGGCCAAATTCCATTCCAAAGGAATTGCATAAGCTACTGTTTAGCGTAGTTTCACTCCATATATGCTCCTTTGCTTTGCATTTTCCCATATCCTTTCATTCCAGTGTGATTTGCAGAGAGAGGTGCTTTGAAGGAGTTCAGCTCTTCAGAGCTCTGCTCTGGAACACTTGTGTTACTGATGAAAGCTTGGACTCTGCTGAAATACTGGCTGGCAGACAAATAGATCTCAGCTATATTTACAAAGCAGTATGCTTATGGAATAGCTGTTAGCTGGGGAGGGGAAACGTACCTTCTAGGACAGATGTAGTAGTCCAAACATGTCTCCTCCTTACACCCATCTTTGTTCATTCTGGGAGGCCAACAGCTGGAGAAGGAGACGCTGTCTCTTCTTAATCTTGGATGCCTGAGACACTTTGCTACCGCAGTCAGAGAATACGAAGAGGTTACCTTCACTCTTATTGATGTACTGTCTGGGAACTCCAGCCAAGATATGATCATATATAGTGAAACAAACCCTGCCTTGCAGAATTTGCAGCCTGTGTGTGCAGCTCAGTGGGAGGATGGTTCCTTCTGTAGTGTCACGGCAGATTGATGACAGAGCACTTGATGGGTTCCAGATACACATTCACAGCCCTTTTCTGCTTGACCACAGTGCTTCATGGCTCCTTTTCTGTGTTTTCTTTAATGCTGTGTTAGCTTAGTTGTAGTTTTCTGCTGATGCCTTCCGAGTGATGCTGGTGTTAATGTTGTTGGGAATCAGTGAAGCACACTTAATGCTTCTTTGGGATATCTGTGCACCAGGTAAGCTAAGGGTGACATCTGCTCCCTGGGACTTGGGGACCTGCCTTGATGGGTTTATTCATGGCGTGGCCCACAGTCCACACAAACCTGGACAGGACGCATCACCCAGCTTTCTCAAAAGCCTCAACTGGTGGAGGGTAGGTGAAATAATTTGAGTGGCAGTGCTGTTTCCAACTGCCTTTTCTGCTGAGATGAGCTGCTGGGGTTGCTGTTGGCATTGACTGTGCATAGAGAGCAATGCCTGGGGTGCCAGTAAAGGAAGTTACAGACGGAGTATGGCGACAAGGCTAGGAAAAAGGAACAAGGAAAAAGAATCTGCTTTTGCCCTTTCAATTACTGTAAGTGCAGTTTTTAAGGGGAACGCAGTGCTGAGAATGAGAACAAAAAAACCGTGGTAAAAACAGCCCTGTGTCTACCAGAGATTGGTCATGTTCCTGTTCAATGAAGCTGCCTTGAGGAATTCAGGTGACATCGAACGCTCAATGCTGTGCATTACGATGTGTTTTGGAGGAAAATACCTGATTAGTCAGAAGTCCACTTGTAATTTAAGAAAAGATGTGGAGAATGATGCCTCGTGTTTCGCTATTTGAGCTCTGAACGTGTTGGGTTAGAATGCCCTCCTTCATAAGAAACCTTGTGCCTCCTGTGCGAGTTGTTTTGTGGCTGTGACATTGGGTTTTTTGGTGCTTGTGTGCAGGTCTGAAGGTAGAAGTGACTCATTGTGGAACGATGAGACGGAAATACCGCGTTTGTAATGTGACCAGGAGGCCTGCAAGTCATCAAACGTAAGATGCTTTTTTGTCAGGGTGTAAGATGTGCAGAAGCTTAGCACTGAATATCTAATGGGATCCAACTTTATTCATTCTGGGAGTGCTAATAATTGCCAGCTAAGCTTTTCATAATTTTGATTGATGAAAACTTGTTTCTCTCCAGCTTTCCTTTACAGTTAGAAAATGGCCAGACTGTGGAGAGAACAGTAGCACAGTACTTCAGAGAGAAATACAACCTCCAGCTGAAGTATCCTCATCTGCCTTGCCTGCAAGTGGGACAGGAACAGAAACACACCTACCTGCCTTTAGAAGTAAGGAACTTATTCTGATATAAGTCAGCTCGTTATTTCAGGCAGTGTCTTTTTGCAGACGAAGTAATGCACTTTGCAGTGCAGGTGTGTTGCATATTTACAGATTCTTTACGTGCCCTTTGTTTTATTTCACTGATGACTACGTTTTTAAAGTGCTTGAACGATGGGAACTGAGGGAAAGCGTGCAGTTGCTTAAACGCTTTGGAGGTTTGTAGAATTCTCTAATGAATTCTCTGGTTCTAAATGCTCTGTATTAATGCTGCTGATGTTTCCTCAAGGTATGTAACATTGTGGCTGGCCAGCGGTGTATCAAGAAGCTAACGGACAATCAGACATCAACTATGATAAAGGCCACAGCAAGGTCTGCTCCAGACAGGCAGGAGGAAATCAGCAGATTGGTGAGTTCTTCAATTTCTGTTTGGCTTGGTGCTGTTCAGCAATGGTTCTGAACCCCAGCCTGGCAACTCTTCTACAGGCCATAGCTGACTGCCTTACTGGCAAGCAGCGTCTTCATTTGTGGGGTTGAGGGTTTCCTGGGTCAGGGGCTTCTGGTCACACACTGACAAACCATTTTGTTGTAAGACATTCTTAAATTCTTCAGTCCAGCGTAACTCTTTCATTCCTTCCTCTTATCATTCTGGCATTATAAATTATTGCTGTTTTGAAATTTGCTCAGTATCACCCAAGGGATCTGTATCAGAAAAGTGAATCTGGGTCTCCTGAGCCTCAGTCTTGTTTTTCAACTGTTGGACTGCTTTCCTCAGCACACGTTAAATGTTGTCACTCCGTGGCTCCACTGTCTTCATCTCTTATGTATCTGCTGCTGAATTCACCCATCCCAGCAGTTTTCTCTGATTCAGAATGTAAGACTTGAGTATTTTTGGTTGAATATTCTGATAAACAGATTTGAAATGGTCTGATTTGGAGCTGACAAGTGAACCAACATTTTTCAATTAAAATAAGACTTCAGGAAAATACAGAAGACAAGAATGTGCAGTAATTGAAGGAGTTAAAGTGTTCTTATTTCCTAAGGAAAATGCTTTTTGATCTATTCAGCGAGCGAACGAAATGCTCTTGGATGAGCATAGTGCAAGTGAGCCCCCAGAGTAACTGAGGGAACACAAAATCTCATCCAGTGTCTCGTGGCAGTTGAGCAATCAGTGGTTGAATCGGAGCCTTTTCCAATGAGAAGAGGGATCGTAGGACGTTTCTGCCGCGTTCCTTTTAGAACAGAGTGGCTCCAATTTGTTGCACGAGTTCCGTTTGTGTAACACAGGGAAACTCTTGCAGGTGAGAAGCGCGAATTACGACGCGGATCCGTTTGTTCAAGAGTTCCAGTTCAAGGTGCGGGACGAGATGGCCCACGTGACGGGGCGCGTGCTGCCCGCGCCGATGCTGCAGTACGGGGGTCGGGTGAGCTCTGCACCTTTTCTTTTTGCCTCCGTGCCGATGGCTGACGCGCGATTCCCAACGTGCGTCGGCTGTTTCAAGCCCTTCAGTTGCCTTGTGCAGAACAGGGAGCAGAGTTTAGATTGCAGGCTTTGTTTTCTCGTGTTCTGAAGCAGTAAATAGCGCAGCTCCTTGCTCTCGCTCACGTGGATATTGCTGTGTTTCTTCTTCCTGCAGAACAGAACAGTGGCGACCCCAAGCCATGGAGTTTGGGACATGCGAGGGAAGCAATTCCACACTGGTGTTGAGATCAAAATGTGGGCTATCGCTTGTTTTGCAACGCAGAGACAATGCAGAGAAGAAATACTGAAGTAAGGCATGTCATAGTTCAGGCTTTGGGCTGCTTTTGTGATGAAACCATTTAGTGAAAACATGGATGTGAGAGATCTAATGATTTTGAACTGGCTTTAATCATCTCGGATGTTAAGGAAAGAATCCAACCTCCTTTCTGGAAGCTACAGTCAGAACACTGTTTGAGTCTTGTGATATTGCTGCTCTGTGTTTACTTTCATTTAGTGTTATGAATGCAGTCCTAAAAGCCCCCAGATTTGCTGTTTTCCATTCTGACCTGTGTTGTTTCAAAGCTGCCTGGCCTTCACACGAGTGCTTTAAAAATGCTACTTTGAAAGCTCTGTGAAATCCTTCTCTTCATAGGAGTAACAGAGTTCTCCTACCTGTTTTTGCTTTGGTTGTTGTGTGCTATTGCCAATGCAAAAATGCAGTAAACTCCTTATCTGTAGGGGTTTTACAGACCAGCTGCGTAAGATCTCCAAGGACGCAGGGATGCCGATCCAGGGCCAGCCCTGTTTCTGTAAATATGCCCAGGGTGCAGACAGTGTGGAGCCCATGTTTCGGCACCTCAAGAACACCTATTCAGGGCTTCAGCTCATCATTGTCATCCTGCCAGGAAAAACACCGGTGTACGGTAAGGGAATCCCTTGGACTTCACCTGTTTGGTGAAGCATCGTTCAAACGTATGCATGGCGTGTCAGAAAACTGTTCTGGAGCATTCATTAGGCGTAGGGAACCAGTGCTGTCTGAAGTTGAAATCAATTAGAAGCAAGTCTGAGCATTCAGCTAAATAGAAAGCTGTTTTACAGAGTATGTATGTCTCAACTGTTGTGATGTAAGCTAAGATCAGAACGTGGCAATAGTTCCAAATGGACTCAGTTTGTATCCTGACTTTGGTTTCACAGCGGAGGTGAAGCGTGTGGGAGATACACTGTTGGGAATGGCCACGCAGTGTGTTCAAGTCAAAAATGTCATTAAAACATCTCCACAGACCCTTTCAAACCTGTGCCTGAAGATCAATGTTAAATTAGGAGGAATCAATAACATCCTTGTACCTCACCAACGGTAAGAATCTGCATGGAGATGTATTGGGGTTTTCTTTGATACGTGGCACCCAGCGTTTAACTGTAGCCAAAACTTACACTGAATTGTCCTTCTGGTACTATGTGATGTGAGCTAGAATTGCATTTCTTCTTGTGTGGGCCCTGAATAGTTGTTGGCCTGGGAGCTAAGGCTCCTGTGTTTTTCCATGCTTGATCAGTATCAAAGATTTGAACAGCTGCAGTTCTGGAGGTGCTGAAATATTGTGTCAATTAGAAGCTTTCTGCAGGTTTAGGAGTCTGCCACACACCACAGGACTATCTGTTCTGATTGGTGTGCCAATGTGCTGTCAGCAAGGGCAGAAGTATACTGACAGCACCCTGCTTCTCTCACACTGTTAGGCTAAGCAGTTCATTCTTTGCACAGGTAATCTCTGTGCTTGTGTTCCAGGTGCTTTGAAGCCCTCAGTGGGGTTTGGGTCTAAGCCATGCTCCCCTCTTTCTCACATGCTTTCTTCTGAAGAGTCTATCAGTCCTGAAGACAAGAAGTTCTGGTGGTCTCTAACTGTTGTTAGGAGCATATCAGTTCTTTAAGAGTGAACATACACACTAAGCAAGCCAGGCAAAAACTTCTGGAGTGCAAAGGTGTAGAAATTCTTCCCTGAGGACTCCTGAAAGAATGGAATTTGAGTTTAAGCTTGAAGGAGAAGTGCATGGAAGAATATCTTAAAGCAGTGGGAGATTGTGCTGGTCCTTGTCTCCTGTAAGCCAGACCAACGTGCGTGCTGCTGCGAGCGCAGCCATCTGTTGCAGGGCTGAGGTAGCACTGAAGTGTTGCTTAGCTGGCCTCCCAGCACCAGTGGAATCAAATGGTAGAATAATGGTTTCTGTAGGAGACTGCCCGCATTGTTAAGGTGCAGCTCTTTGGCTTCTCTCCCCTAGAATCATGCCTGCAGTTTAGTGGCAGTGTTTTGCAGTGACCGTTAGCGTTGTGGAAGTTTGCTTTCAGCACACAAAGATCTCATTGTTCAGGTCTGGCTGGAGTACCTGATAAGAAAGTCTCTCTGTGTCGTGCAGCTGAAATAGAAACAAAGGCCCATTTGAGCACCAGCTGTTCATCTGCAAGTGTGACTTAGCACTTTTCTTTTTCTTTCTTTTTTTTTTTGAAGACCTTCTGTGTTCCAGCAGCCAGTGATCTTTCTGGGAGCCGATGTCACTCACCCTCCTGCTGGAGATGGAAAGAAACCTTCCATAGCTGCTGTAAGTTCTATGAAATCAACGTTGTTCTTTCATCTCGGGTAAATGTTAGAACAGCAAATGCAACTCATGGCCTGTGTTTGTCAGGTGTCTTTCAGGATTATGCCCTCATTCTTGCTACACCTTTCCAGTGTTACCAAAAATAATGTCTTTAAAAGAAAAATAGTGCTTGATACTTTGTGCTCAGAGCGTTTTGATTTTTAAATGAAGGCAATCATGTTAAATAGAATGCTTTTGCAGAAGTAATATGAAGGAATTAATACTGCTTGATGATGTTAGGGTGTTTTGTGTAGATTTGAACTGGCTGCTTTTAATCATGCAACATTCTCCCAAAGGTTGTAGGCAGTATGGATGCTCATCCAAGCCGCTACTGTGCCACGGTGAGAGTTCAGCGGCCCAGGCAGGAGATCATCCAAGACCTGGCCTCCATGGTGAGGGAGCTTCTCATCCAGTTCTACAAGTCAACGCGCTTCAAGCCCACACGTATCATCTTCTATAGGGATGGGGTCTCTGAAGGACAGTTCCGACAGGTTGGTTCATTTGTGAGCTGTCTGAAACACTGCATTGCTGCCCTCCTGTTGGAATAAGCTGCACTGCTGCTTTTGTGCTGAGGTACCACAAAAGATTGAGCCTTTTTAGGAGAGTTTCTTAAGCGTGTTGGGTAAGGGAAGTTGCCATTTCCTTGTTGTCTAGGAAGAGCAACTCTTACTCTTGGGAAACAATATATTTCTCAGTGCTTCCTGAGCTCAATAATTGTGTGGCACAGCTGAACTTAGTGTTAACTGCAAACTGTTAATTAGGTGCTTTGTGTAGAATATAATGTGAGGAAAACCTGTTCTGTTCTTGTGCTTGTAGGTTTTGTACTATGAACTGCTAGCAATTAGAGAAGCCTGCATCAGTTTGGAGAAGGATTACCAGCCTGGAATAACCTATATTGTGGTGCAGAAACGACATCATACACGGTTGTTCTGTGCTGACAGAACAGAAAGGGTAATCATTGTCCTGCTCAGTACAAGCTTGGTGTCAGTACTTGTGCTGCTAGACAAAATGTTAGCATGGGCTTCACTGCCAGTCTGATTCTGTTTGCTTTTGGGGAATATGTTGAATTGATTGGCACAAAATGTGGCACCAAATTGAAAAATCAGTGACCTTAAATACATTAAAAACAAAAACAACCACCATCAGGCTTTGTCACAGTACCCATGTGCACGATATATGTGCAGCTCTTCTGGCTTTCTGAGATTCTGGGTGCAATATTCTGCGTTGCAGTGGTGAAAAGCCATGCAGTGTCCACGTCAGACATCCCAGGTTGCTGTGTTGGCACATTCCAAACAAAGCTGAGGCAGTTCATTCACTGAAGTGCTGTGTGTATTGAATAGGAGCCTGTGTTGTTATTTACAGTTGAAGTGTAGAAGTTGTTAGCTGCAGTTTTTAACAAAACTTCTGTTTAGGTTGGACGAAGTGGCAATATCCCAGCTGGAACAACTGTAGATACAGACATTACACATCCATATGAGTTTGATTTTTACCTCTGCAGTCATGCTGGAATACAGGTATAATTGTTGTCTTGTAAGTAAATGTGGATTTAGAACATAGAGATGTAAATGTATTGTTATAGCAAGCTAGAAGTGAGTCTTAGCTAAATAGAGTAAATCTGTATGTGTGAATATATGTGTATTTTAAATTATGTATGTTAAAAAGTGTTTGGTGTGGATAAAATACAAGTATTGCCATAACTTGGTTGTGCTGTAAGGTTCAGCTCCAGTGTATAACATCCTCTGGGGGAGAAGCAGGGGGAAGATGAGTACTCATTTATTTCAGAGCACTGTCTTCCAAAGAAACTGCATGGCAGTTTGCTGGGGAACTTCTAAGAGTTCCTAAGAGCTGCACTCAGCATTCAGTGGCTGTTGTGGTCTGTTAGGAAATGTGAGGGTGGTGGTAAAAACCAGCGTGTTGATCAGTTTAGTCATGTTGGAAGCAGGTTTCAGTTGTGAAGGGTTATTTAGAAGGCGTGTGGTTTTCTTCTTCCCAAGCAAGGCTAATTGAAATAACATCATATGAACATTAGACTCTTTTAATCTCTGTGATACATTTATTGCTGACATAATCCGGAAACTTCTTTGGCTGCTGTTACTTAGGAATTCAGACTAGACAGTCTGGCCTTTTCTGAGCTTAAACATCTGACTTGATTGCAGGGAGAGTCAAAAAAGAAAGATAAGTGAACCGATGTTCCCTTCTTCTTAGGGTACCAGCCGTCCCTCACACTATCACGTTTTGTGGGATGATAACTGCTTTACTGCAGATGAACTGCAGCTGCTGACTTACCAGCTCTGCCACACATACGTGCGCTGCACGCGGTCAGTTTCTATACCTGCACCAGCCTATTATGCTCACCTGGTAGCATTCAGAGCACGGTACCATCTTGTGGACAAAGAGCATGACAGGTAAAGAGAAATACGTGTCCTTAAACGTGTGTCCTTGTTGGTTGTCAGGCATAAAGCCATTTCACTGTTCATTTTGCAGTTAATTCTTGTAACCTTGGCAGCTAGGCTTTAAGATGCTCATTCCTGACATCAAGGCTGTGGCAGGCGAGGGTGGATTGGTGTTTTCTGCTGAATAACACCTGGATTACAAGAACGAAGTTCAGCTTCGTTAAGCATTGTTCTGACATCTCCGTGGTGTGAAGGAATCAAACACACGTTTGGCTTTTTGCTTTAGAGTCAGAGCGTTCATCAGTGAAACAGATGTGAAGTGCCTCACGTTTCTCTGGCTCTGCTTTGGATGTCAGAATTATTTGATAACATTAAGGCCATCAGTATGTTTGCAGGGGGGGTTTTCTGGACAAATCAAGGAGCTGAGGGGAAGGGGTTTCTGTTGTTATCTGTTCTTATCTGTTACTCTGCAGCCTTCAGGCTTTCTGTTGATATTGCCACTTTCCCCTCCTGCGTGGCGAAGGGATGCAGAGTTAAATCCCAATTAACACAATGCACAGCTCCTCTCGTCTTACTTTCTCCCGTTTTCTTGCAGTGCTGAAGGAAGCCACGTTTCAGGACAGAGCAATGGCAGAGACCCACAGGCCCTGGCGAAGGCTGTACAGATTCACCAAGACACCTTACGCACGATGTACTTCGCTTAAGTCAGTAACAGGGGAGCGTGCTCGCCGCGAGGAAGAACTGACAAATTAAGCCACATACAATGTATGTTTCCAGTGGGGTTGGTTTATGGGGTGCGCCTCCCATCGTGCAGGGGCGAGAGGCTGACCCTTAAATTGACACAAGGAAGATTGTTTACTTCACCGAGGAACACAGCACTATTATGCAATATGAAACCAGCCAACTGCTTTTGTGGCGCGGTCTCCTGTAGGAAGCACCGCCATCATTTTCCTCCTTCTGTTTAATTTCTCGTAGTTTAACCCTCTTCTGCCTTTACCTCAAGTTGCTCGGCAGCACAACTCTCTTTGCAAAAAAAAAAAAAAAAATTAATAATAATTAAAAAACAAAGGATGGTGTAATTTGAGAAAAGCAACCTGTATAAGAACAGTCACAGTGATTCTTTGGGAGAGAGAAGTGTGCAAAAAGTCTTGTTTCGCCCAGTTGAGGAATCTTTCTCTCAGTATTGCCATCAGCATTCGAATGCGACCATATCTGAGTACATCTGAATGTACAGCACTAAGTAGAGAGAAAATGGAGGGGAGGGAAGATGTTTTGCACACTGATCCAATCATTTGAACATAGTTTAGCCAACTGCTGCCTTTCTTCACAGCTTTGGAGTCCTCAGCTCCATCAGTTCCCTTTTAGAAGCAAACAAAGCTAGCGGTGTTACTGCAGGCAGTGGTGATCCCAACTGTTCTTGCTCCCTGGTGACTTTACTAAAGCTGCTGTTTTACCTAGTCCAAAAGTTTCAATTATTTTCTATCTGGCAAGTCAAATATCGTGAAGCTTCATGTGAGGTTGGGCGTCCCAAGCTTTATGGGATGGCTGCAGCAAACACCAGAACTGAAACTTTAGAGGTAAGGTCGTCTTGACAAAAGAAAAATGCTAGTTTACTTGCTGCCTCTCACACCTTAATGTGATTTCATACGTACGTGTTTTTGAAGTTTAGCTTCCTTTGTTTCCTTTCTATTTATTAGAGTAATAATAATGCTTTAATTTAATTATTACAGAACATATGGTCAACATCAACTTTTATTTTTTAGAAATGTAACCATGTTTATTTTTAAAGAACTGACAACTTGTTTTTGCTATCTTTTAGTGCAATAAGCGTTCGAAAAGAGAACTGTGTCCATTGAGCTGAACCACAGCCGTGTTTGTACCGCTGGCTGTGGCGGAATGGACGCCTCCGGTTTTAAAAGGACAAAGTCAAAGCCTTAATTTTGAAAGGAAAGTTTTATAGTCAGAAGGAATCTCGGATTTTCCTTTTTTAAATCAAAAAGTAGCAAAAATGCTTCTGGAACTCTGCAGGCTTCAGCGCTCGCTGCCGTGGTTTGGTTTAACAAAGGAACCGGCCGTATTTTTGGCTTTGAGACGTGGGAGATATTTGAAGTAAACAAACAGATTTTTTTATTGAGCTCTAAGTTTTTACATGCTTAATTAAACCTGTTTGACATCAATAAAAGGTCTGGAGTTATTAAAAGTTTTTAGGCTTTTTTCCTCTTTGATAACGACTTTCCTTTTAAAATTAAGTTATTGGTAACTTCATTTCACTTTGCAAATAAAAAGAGGGCTGGGATAGTTCTACCTTTAAATCACTGAAATGTGAAGCAAACAAACGGGACTCTTTCATTCCACTTTAAAGGCAACCCAACGTTAAGATGTCAGAGATGAGCATTTATTCTGCGAGGGGCCTGGGAAGTTTTGCACTTTGTAAACTCGTGAACTGCGTTTTTTGACTGTTTTTTATTTGCACTGGTTCATAGTATATATACTGCAGATCGTTTCTATGGGCATTGCTGTTATCCCAGCCCTTCTGAACCCCACCTGCTCTCCACATGAAAACCAGAGGGTCGCTAAAGCAGCTTTATCTCCCGGCGTTCTCACCGAACGCTCTGTTTGCCAATATTCTGTGTTTTGAGCCTAAAATCTGAGCCCGTTTCGCTTCAGCAGGCATGACTCTGCCCATCTCTTCTGCCAGAACACAAAGTACTGTATTTGTGCGTCTGTGTGTCGTCCTGCAGTGTGTGTAGTGCTGTACAACGCTGTCTCGCAGAGCTCTGCTCGGCGGTTGGCGCGTAGGCATGCTTCATCTCCCAGCACCAAGGAAGGGAACGTAAAGATTAACCTTGTGAGCATTGCACTGGAAAAGTCCTGAGGTGGGCAGCTGTTGGGGAGCACTGGGGGGCGGTGGGGCTGGGCTTTGCCCTGAGCCCCCATTGGGCTGAGCTCCAGGATGGCTCAGCCCTCCTCCAGGTGCCCACAGCGCCCCAAGGCAGAGCTGCAGGGAGGTGGTGCTGCAGTTGTTGCAGCCTCTGAAACGTTGCCCTCGGTTGGGGACCTGCGAGCTCTGCCTTGGAAGAGCTCTAGCTGGCAGTTCTGTTAATACAAGGTTCAGGTTAGGCTTTTTACAGAAAGCTAACGTTTAAAGAGGGGTAGAGATTTATAAAGAAACTATTTTACAAAGCCTTCTTGTGGATTTCTGGCGTCAAGATGAAAATTCCTTTTCAAAAAGTCTTTTGATGCTCCTTGCAGACATGCTGTGCCCTTCTCACCCTGCCCACGCTCAGTGACTGGGAGCCGAGAGGCCTTTGGCTTTGAACTCTCACCAAAAAACAAAGAGACTCCATTGGGAAGGTGACTTTAGATGCCAGCTCGACAGCTGCTGTGCCTGGTTTTCATGTGAAGAGTACGTGGAAGCTTGAATCTCTCTTCTTGGTTTTGCAAATATCTACGTAAAGTGCCGATACTTATTTGTATTACAATATCAACTTACTGGCGTTGTGAGGGCCACACATTTATGATGCTGTAGCTGCTATATTTATTTAAATGGAGATGGACAATTACTGCACTAAGGAATGAGGAGATAAGCAAGGAATCAAGGTTAGTTAGATATCTTGGGGTTTTTTTGGGGGTTTTTTGTTTTTTTTTTTTCTGAAAGAGAATTAATGGTGTGAAATATCAAGTGTAACAAAGGGTGCTGTCATTTTAACTGAGATTAAATAGCCAGATATTCTTCCTTTGTTTAAAAACATATATATTTTGATGTTTGCAGTTTGGGGGTGGGGGGTCGGGATAAATGGTACCTCATCTGTGGTGGCAGTTTCCGGTATATTTTCAGAGTATATGGATTTCTTTTATTTTTGTACCTGCTCTCCTTTTAAAAAAGACAAAAAAAAAAAAAAAAAAAAAAGAAAAAAAAAAAAAAAAAAAAAAAAAAAAAAAAAAAAAAAAAAAAAAAAAAAAAAAAACACAATAACAAATTTTTTGTGGGGGGGGTGGGGGGGGGGGGGAAAAATGTCGAGCTGCTCCCCAGGTCCCCTTTCTCTCTGGGAGCCCAGGGCTGCGCTTCTCCTCCTCCCTTTGCAGACACGCTGGCCTCGTGCACTGCCCAGCTGGGTGCGTGGCTCCCGCCCTGCAGACGCTGTACCAGTTCACCAAGACCTCGTTTGTACTCAAGTGCCACTTGCTGGTGGGAGCTGCAGTGCTGGTACTGTGCCAAAGGCGGGCTGTGCCGAGCCCTGCAGAGAGCACTGGGAGCTGCGGAGCTGAGAGGGAGCAGAGCGTTGCACAGAGCATTGCTAGGAGGTGTGCTGACATTGCTAGGAGGTGTGCTAACATGCTGGCACAGAGCATTGCTAGGAGGTGTGTTAATATACTGGCAGAGCGACTGACCCCATGCAGGGGGCTTTGAGGGTGCTTCAGCTGTGGCCGTTTTACTCAGGATTGCTGTGTTACTGTTCAATGTGTGATTTGGTTGGACGTGTCCAAAAGTTGTTTCTGTAGGGGTTTGTTCTGGCATCCTTCTGGAAGTTTGGCCTTAGAAATGGTTTTTCTGGAGTGAGGTGGGTTTCTGAAAGCTGTCAGTCAACTTATTTCTAGGTGCCATTGGTCCTAAACCAGTTTCGCTTTGTGTACCGAATTTTGTCCTTTACAGTGCTCAGTGTAAGGCACCAGGTACCTTCTGTACAAATTCCAGCTACAAATACTGGCTTTTTCCTAGCCTGGAAGTTTGCTCTGTTGAAACTCTGAGCTCCGCCTGCCCTTCAAACAGCTTGAGGCCTTTTTTCTTTCTCAATATTCCCTTCCCATCTTGTCCTCTTGTAATATTCTCCCAGTTTTGTGAGTTGAGGGTTTAGGACCTTCCTCCGAGCACTTTTATAACCTAGGAACCCAAAGCTCTGCTGCCGTACCTTGCAGTTATCCATTCCATTTTCAGAGCTGCCGTCCAAACGGCCATCCCTGTCCCTTCAGTGCTGTGGAGTTCTGCTGCTGATGGCTTGATTGAATCTGTTGGAAAAAATCCATAGGGATGTGAAAGGGAAGGATCCCAGTCTCTCCTTTCCCTGCCCAAAGATGGTACTTTACATTGATATTGAGTGTTAGGACGCTCGTCTTGTTTTGGCACACGTTTAAGTAAGACATCACCTAGCTAATTGACTCGTTGTGACCTGGAACTGTAGAGGTTAGAGCTTGAGCTAATTGCTGCTTGCTGCTAGCAAGAAGTTGTGTGTTTTTCAGTAGCTGAGTTACAAACAGATTGGGGTCCTGCACTTCGCCTCCTGGGCAGAAGCCCCAAGAAGCCTCATCTCTGTAACACTAAAACAACGTTTGTCCCTCAGTAGGCAGTGTGTGCAGAAGGGCAGGGGCTGCAGGGGAGGACATCGAAGCCTCGGTACTGCAGAAATGTGTCCTGCCTGCCCTGGCCTTTCTGGCTCTGTCTGAGGTCCCCCCTCACCTAACACGGGTAGTTACCGTAGGGTCCTTCAACAACAAAGTGGTTCTGTTTAAAATTTGGAGTGAATATGTTATTTTTGAGCAAGACAGTCCTCAGAAAGTGCCTTTGTAGAAGACGGTGCTGTAGATTTTATTTTCCAGTTGTACGTGGCTGAACATTTAAGATAAATAACTGTAAATGCCAAGTGTCTGATGGTACCTGTAGGTACTTTAGGCATCAGGTCTCTGAGTCAGGACCAAGCATAACCAGGATGGTGGTTTCCTTTGGAGGGAAAGGCATTGGGGAGCAATCACCAAACGCTGCTGGGGAGGAGCAGCTCGATGGAAGGTCTGTCTCCCAGGCATTACAAAGTCCCAAGGACAAAGCAGACGAGCTGAGCGCTGTCTGGGGATGCAGGGATGGTCAGTGCTGCAAGCAGGCGTCCTGTGGGTTGTGTTCTAACAGCGTGTATTTGTGCTTGGGACTTGTCATTCCTAGCTGGGAGAGAGATGCTGTGGGCCCTGCCCAGAGGGCTGGCAGTGCTGTGGGTCCATGGTGAGCATTGCTTCCATTGGGAAAGGCTGTCAGCTAGACTATTAGCCACTGCACCTCAGTAACCTCGTAATGCTGCGTTAATAATAGCAAAGTTCTGCTTTGATGGCACTGCTGTGTGCCTGCAAAAATGCCCTCTTTCACTTTTGTAACGCTCTCGGTTGCGGTTACCTGCCTGCTCCTTGGGGAGCCATGTCCTTCTTGGGGTGCTTCTGTGTGTAGCTGTGTGTCCCATCTGCCTGTTGCTGCTGGCTGCTCTTTTTAGGTGCAAAACGTTTCTGAATGGTTGGTTTTTTTTCCTTTTCTGAAGTCAGCTCAACTCTTTAAGATGCATTTGAGAAGAGAACAAACAGAACAACTCAGTAGAGAGGCTGCTGTGTGGGGTGCTTTGGTTTCACGTTGGCCGTTAAAATGAATTTGTGTTGACTTCAATCACTGTTGATGCAGTGTTGGGCGCTGCAGATGTCAGGATGGTTTTCAGTATCAGCTGAAGCATAAAATTCTGCTTCCCTTGGGAGCAGCAGTGCTGCAGGCACACACTTGTACCCAGGCGTTTCCTAGGAGCAAGCAGAGCTGCTTCATGTCTGTTGAGCAGAACAGGAGCCATGAAACGTTTGGGTTTGCAGTGCTGGGGCTGTGACACCGCTGTGCTTCACATCCATGGCAGAGCTGCTGTGCACAGAGCTGCACACAGAGCATCGCTTCTGGCTGAAGTTAAAGGCAGCAGTGTTCCTTTTTGTTCAGCAGCTTTGTTTTAGAGCAGCACTCAGTGCTGCTGCCATAGTGTTTAAGCTTTGCAGTGGTTTGTTCCTGATCTCTGACTGCTGTTAGGCTGGGGTTTAGAAAGCATTTTGTCAGCCTGGGTTCTGAATCTTTTAGACTAAAAAGGGCCAAAAATCTCATTCCATCAGCTTGTTTGCAGCAATGCTCTCCATCTCTTCCCCTGCCTATGAACCAGATTATTTTCTATCTGTGCTTAGCCAGTGCTGAAGCTGTTGAGACGTGCACGTTCCTATCTCCTCCTTCTCTACGTTACAGATGTGATCAGAAGCAACGGAAGGGCAGAGCTGTGTCTGAGGGTTCCTGCTGGGTGCAGATCCCTGCTGAGGTGGGCTGTAGCACATGAGGGTTAACTGCAGTAGCAATGTCTGTGTGCTGCAGGGTGTGATGCAGTTCAGCTGGGTGCTTTAACACGAGCCAGTTGCTGAAGGTGTAGATACTGAAGAGGCAAACTTGTTGGAAACGGCATCATTCCTCCTGGCAAGGTTTATAATCAATGCTACTCATAGTAAATGGTGCTGTGCTGGGGTTAATCCGAAGCTGAAATGACTCAGCTGTGTGTTTTATGAAGAGGAGGAGAGGAGGTGGTGACTGTGCTGTCAAACCAGTAGTAAAAAGCTGGGAAGGCAGGAGGGAGAGCTGACTGTGCTGAAAAGCTCCAATGCTGCTGGAGCCATCTGAACTTGTCCCTTTGCACCCGCAGTTTACTCCAGCACCCACCAGTAACTACTGCAAGAACTAAGAGATGAGCAGAGAGGTTTTTTCCTGTCTGTTGGTAAGCAGGAGTGCCTGCTCACCTCCACAGCCGTGCTGAGCAGCAGCAGCAGTGCCTGCGACAGCCGTGCCGTTCGATCCCATCTTCTGTGTGCTCTGAATCCCAAAGCAGCCTTTCCTGGTTCAAAACAGAGATTCAGGAGGTGGGTGATGTTCCATACAGCAGAGCCATGGTTTCTGTGAGCAGTGTGTGGCCCCTTTACAAAGCACAGACGCTCCAATGATTTCTGGCTGCAGTCTTTGGGCGGTTGGAAGGAGCTCCCATGTTAGCTGTGGTGTCCTGGGCTGCTTGGGTCAGACTTGAACTCGTTGAGAGCAAGCATGTGCCTTTTTCTGATCCGAGACAGAAGCTGGAGGAGCTGGCAGCGCTGGTTGACAGTGGGGTCAGTGTTCTTGAGCTGCTTGAGGCTTGGTCAGGACGGAGTCGGTTTGGTGTTGAGTTGCTTAAAGGGAGCCCTGAATTATTTGTGAATGTAGCTACCCAGAGAGAAGAAGCTTTAAAGTGAATGGTTTCTGGAGAGTAATGTCATCAAACAAACATATTTGGTGGTAGAGTTGGTTTTTTTCTTAAATGAAATTGAACACTGATACGTTTCTCCATAGAGAGCCATTAATTCTGCCTTTATCTGAATGTTGCCTGTCCCATAACGTCTCTGCTGTGCTCCTGCAGCTTCCCTGCTGGCTGTAAGGACCTGAGGGACGTTGTTGGCAGAGGTTGGGAAGTGGGAACGTGGTGCTGAGGGCTGAACATCACTGCAGGTGGCTTTAAGGAGCGGCCTGCCAGCAGCTGAAGGTGCTGAGTCTGGGATAGGATGTGAGGCAGCGGGGTGCTGAGAAATGAGAATTGAGCCTCTCCTTTCACATCCAGCTATGCAGTGAAGGCTGCTGGCTGCCTCAGGTGCTGGTTCAGGCTCCAGGCTGCGCGTGCGGATTGTCAGAGAATAACAGAAGAGCTTTTCGAGGTGTTTGCTGCACGTTGAGGTACTGCAGGGTTCCCAGCCAGCAGCTCTGGCATCAGCGCTGGCTGTGAGATGGGTTCCCTCCCTGATTTCAGGGAATTGATTTTTGCCTCAGCTTTCTGCCCTATCTGGAACACACACAGGATGCCGTGCGCTGCCTTACGAGAGCTCAGCTGTGTGTTGTGAGCATCAGCCGTGCTGTGAAGTGCTCCATTCCTGGTACAAACCCATGCGCCTTCCTGCCAGTGGC